ACAAATATACAATGAATTTTCTTATATTTGTTTGAATATTCCTATGGGAGCCTTAAGAAGATATAGTGGTCCAATCCGGCTCGCTCCGACATATGTACTACCTGCAATAGAAAGGAAACTTTCGGCAAAGTTTCATCGCGATATCTTTAAAACTGAGAGATTAGTTCGCATAGAAACGGACAGACGGACATGGCTAGATAGACTCGGCTATTGGTGCTGATCAAGATATATATATATATATATAATTGTGTGTATATATATAATTGTGTATATATATAATTGTGCCTCTGGGCTACGAAAGGTTTTCTTACTATTAAGCCGCAAAAAGTGCCTAAAAATCGAAAATTTGGAACTTTTACCACGGATTTCTAAAAACTTCGACGTGATAGAAAGTTTCCAAGTATGAGGTAGTAATCTACAGCTAAAATCCTTTCAGGTTTTGTAGCGTTTATTCTTGGGCCAAGAAAAAGTCTTGATTTTGTCGACCTGTGTAATCATTATTTGTGAGCGATATTATTTCTCTTAAAAATATCATTTAATGTGCGATTATTACAAATAATCAATTTAATGTTTGAATCGACAACAACCGACAACAATCCGCTGTAATGGAATTTGTTTCGCAAACGATGATTTGTTAAAAAAGAAACTTAAGCAGTTTTTTGCCTTTTATAATCGTAATTGGCAAAAATGTCACAGAATAACGGACCTAAAAATTTCAATTTTGGAAAAGGACACGCCAACTGACAAACCTTTGCATGCTGCTTCTATTTGGCAAAAAATATCCAAAAAGAAGGTACTTTAGTTTTGTTGCGAAAGGCATTGAATATTAAATTTTGGAATAACAAATACATTTTTTTTAGTTCCTTGCCTTTAAAAGTATGTATGCGGCGTGGGCGGTTGATGAACACGAGTTCGTACTCCTCAGCTTGTTTTCCGTTTATTTAAAATCGTAAATATACCCGTTACTCGTGGAGTAAAAGGGTATATTAGATTCGTGCAAAAGTATGTAACAGCTAGAAGGAAGCGTTTCCGACCCCATAAAGTATATATATTCTTGATCAGGGGCACTAGCCGAGTCGATTTAGCCATGTCCGTCTGTCTGTCTGTATGAACGCTGAGATCTCGGAAACTACAAAAGCTAGAAGGTTGAGATTTCCCACACATATTCTTGGGCATCCTACGCAGCGCAAGTTTATGTTAGCCGAGCGCCACGCCCCCTCTAACGCCCACAATTGCCCTCTAACGATTTTAAAATGGGTCCTGCGCCCACATCTTTAAAGATTTCCGAGAAGTTTTGTTGTGTATATTTATACCTATCAAAATGTAGAAGACATTTTTCAAATCGGAACATTCATTCAAAAGTTATACGCAATCAAAATTTATATATCTATCTCCCTCGCACTCCCTTTAGCTGAGTTACGATTATTAGTCGGGACACCAACCCGAGTACAGCGTTCGCACTCCCTTTAGCTGAGTGACGGGTATTAGATAGTCGGGACACCAACCTGACTATAGCGTTCTCTCTTGTTTTATTATTACCGTTAGGCGCGGTTGTTCGGTTGATCTGAAAGGTCGGATCGAATCCGGAAGCAAAACAAAAAAAGGGTTCCGCTAAGAGAGAGATTTTGTTAGCAACATTATTTTCGGTTTTGTCGAGAGTCTAACTGCCTTAGTAATATCGGTTGACAGTTATTTGCAAGCTCTGCTCGTGAGGGATATTTATTTTTTGCCTGTCTTTCTGTTTCTACGCATACTTGTCTCTTAGTTTTGAAGCTATCGGTTTGAAACTTTCATAAAAGTATATAAGTCTCGTCCACCCTGATCGGAAAATTATTTTTTATTGTATTCTCTTCTAATCTGGGACATGACCATTTTTTAATAATTCAGAATTTTGAATTAAATTTAACAATAAATAACACAGGTCGACAAAATCCGGACTTTTTTTTTGGCCCGGCCCATGAGTAAACGCTACAAAACCTGAAAGGTTTTAAGCCTTGGATTACTACCCCATAATTGGAAACTTTCTATCACGTCACGGTTTTGAGAATTCCGTGGTAAATGTTCCAAATTTTCGATTTATAGGCACTTTTTGTGGCCGAATAAAAAATAAACCGATTATAGCCCAGAACCGCAATTTGTTGGAAATGGTACATTGAAACTTTAACTTCAACAGTGTCTAATCACTAAGTTGGGCGACCTCTACTTCTTGAGTTATAATGCATTTTACTAAAGTCAACTTTGTCAATTTTTTCTATTTGTAGTAGCCTGATATTTTTAATGTATAGTGTGTATACGGGTCTCATTTCAACAATAAAAATATGAAGCTACTATAAAAAAAAAAAAAAAAAGTGACAAAACTAACCTTAGTAAATTCCAATGTAGCTAAAGAAGTAGAGATCGCCCGACTTGGTAATTGGAAACTGTTGAAGCTAAAGATTCAAAGTACCATTATTGCTAAATTGTGGCTCTGGGCTACGAAGGGTTTTCTTGCTATTAAGCCGCAAAAAGTGCCTAAAAATCGAAAATTTGGAACTTTAACCACGGATTTCTAAAAACTTCGACGTGATGGAAAGTTTCCAAATATGGGGTAGTAATCTACAACTTAAATCCTTTCAAGTTTTTCAGCGTTTAGTCTTGGGCTATTTTGTCGACCAGTGTAATCGAACGGTTATATTTTGTATCCTTATGTAGGAAACAAGAATGAAAGTTAACTTCGGTCAGCCGAAGTTTATATACCCTTGCAGGTATTTCTACTTAAAATGTTGTTTTTACAATGGCAAAAATCAAAACGCCTTCTTTCTACAAAGTTACAAAGTTTTTTCTCTTATTTTGTTGATTATTCCTATGGGAGCCATAAGATATAGTGGTCCGATCGGGCTCGTTCCGACATATGTACTACCTGCAATAGATAGAAGACTTTTGGGAAAGTCTCATCGCGATAGCTTGAAAACTGAGCGACTAGTTCGCATAAAAACGGACAGACGGACATGGCTAGATGGACTCGGCTATTGATGCCTTTTGACTTTTGACTGAAATTATAATACCCTCTTCAAGGGTATAACAATTAATATCAAAATATTGTTAAATGAAACATCTACAAGGGTAAAATCATTCCTATTTAATTACAATATGTTTAATTTAATTAAATTAGCTTCGGCTGGACTAAGTAAGCTTCCTTTCTTGATTTCTTCATTTTTGGAATCAGAGACGCAAAATATATCGGAAAAGTATGTTTATAGGTTTGACACCATATCAGTTGACTGTTTTCGATATCATCGACTTGTCGTTTTTATACGTTGGCAAAATCCTAAAATGTATTTCATTATGATTAGGTTGCTTTGTTAGTTTTTATACGTTTTTTTTATAACAGACGGACATGGCTAGATAGACTCGGCTATTGGTGCTGATCAAAAATACTTTATGTTGTCGGAAACGTCTCCTTCACTGCGTTGCAAACATCTGACTGAAATTATAATACCCTCTGCAAGGGTATAAAAATACATCGAAAGCAGTCGACTCAAAATCGGTAGTAGAAACCAGGGACCGTAAATAACAGTTATTTGTGATTTTTGTTTTAAAAAGACTACTGTGATATTTGGTTTTAAACTTCAAAAATAACGTTCTTTTTACTCTTGTCCACAAAGTATATGCATTTCAACAAATCTAGAAAGCAAATTAACTGTTATTTGTTCATGTCTATAAAGTGCATAAAAACCAGTTAAATTGTTAATAAAAACTTGTACAAATCTCAGTAGGCCTTTTAAAATAAAAATCACAAATAACTGTTATTTACGGTCCCTGGTAGAAACACAAGGCATATTGTCGACTTATAGTCCTTCTGTCGATTTTTTGGAAACTTTAATTTATATTAGACATCTGCATGAATAACAAAAAATACATATTCGAATTGACAATGTTCAAAATGAGTTGAATGAGTTGGAATGTGTAGGAAAACTGGCTTGAATAAATAAGTGTACTGACGTAAAACTCAGTCGAACCAGAAATGGTGATGGAAAACGAATCGAGTAAATGAGTACACGAACAACTCAGACGAATTTATTCGAATCCATTCGAGTTCTTACATGACGTCATAAGGGCAAAATGGAAAATTAAATTTGTTTTGAAATACTTACATAAATATTGGGCTTTTTGTCTTTTTTTTAAATTACAAATCTACCTTTAGTTTTAGCTCGCCACTGAATCCAACCATGCCATTTTCATATTTAAATCCTAAGAATTCGCGGACCAAGTAGGAGAAATATAAAATAGTGTAGTGAAGAGGCAGAAAGGAATGGTCTTCCTTGGACCGCAACTTCTTAAGAATTTATCTAACAAACTCCAGGATGACAATACTAAGAAGTCGCGGTCCAAGGAAGACCATTCCTTTCTTTATCTGTGGCGATAGAGGCAAATTTTTTGGTTCTGACATAAAACTAATTGTTTTTCCATATTTTTTTTTAATTCTCGTGGATTTTTGCATGTGTTTTGAGTTTAAACTAAGGGGAGCTTGGTAATTTCGAAAATAAGAAATCACAAAAATACTTATTTATAGACATACATATATGTATATCAAAACAAATTTAATTTTCTATTTTGCCCTTATGACGTCATATAAGAAAATCGAATGGATTCGAATAACTCGAATGATTTCAGCCTATTCAAATATGACATTCTGTTTTTCGTTATCACTCGTTTAACTCTAGGCCTTTTCTGTCATACTCTATACGGACCAAGATGCAATCCATTCTAGTCATAGTGTGCTGAGCATTTACTCAACTCTATTCTATTCGAATGGAATCATTTCAAAGCCTGTTTGATTCCAGTCATGCAGATGTCTAATTTATATACCATTGTTCCACCAAAAATAAATTATAACAAATTTAAACATCGTAAAATTAATTAAATTAGTTTAAATACTATTATAATTCGAAACATTTTTAAATAAATTAACTTTGGGTTTATATATATGCACTAATTAATAATTCATTACATTATTTCAGACTGGAACACTCACAGAAGATGGACTTGATATGTGGGGAGTTGTGCCCAAATCATCAACAAATCAATTCCAAATACCGTTAAAAAACGTGGACCGATTGCCGTACGATCATTTTCTTTTCGGCATGGCAACGTGTCACTCTATAACAATAATGAATGGAACAATGATGGGGGATCCGTTGGATTTAAAAATGTTTCAATCCACGGGTTGGACACTAGAAGACGCAAATAACATACCAGATAATGAAAAATATGGTATTCTTTATCCAACTATTTTAAGACAACCAAGACATAGCGTTTCCGACTTAACCTCACACGATTCGGGATCCAAGAGTAAAATTAACCGGCAATCTTCTCTGGACGATTTACTAGCTACTGTTGGTATCTCGCAAGCTCAAAATAATTTTGATCATGGTATCGTTAGAGAATTTCCATTTTCTTCGAGTCTTCAGCGAATGTCCGTCATTACTCGTTGTCTGAGTGACCAAGTATTTAACGTGTACTGCAAAGGTTCTCCGGAGATGTTACAGAAGCTTTGCACACCGCAAAGCCTTCCCGATAATTATTCTGAGCAGTTGTCGACATTTGCGAAAAAAGGGTACCGAATTATTGCCATAGCATTTAAAGCTCTTGTCCAAAAGATGAACTATACAAAAATACAGCGTCTATCCCGCGAAGAGGTTGAAAACAACTTGGAATTTCTCGGTTTTGTGATACTTGAAAATCGCCTCAAGCCAGACACTGCGAAAGTAATCAATGCACTAAACTCGGCCAAAATTCGAACTATAATGATTACTGGCGATAATATTTTAACTGCTATGAGCGTTGCTAGAGATTGTGGTATAGTAAGCGCATCGCAAGCTGTTATAACAGTGCACGCAGATCCGCTTGGAGGTGTTGCAAATATTCAAAACAAAATCACTGGTTCTGGTACTGAATGTATTATAGATAAAAGTCCAGATAAACTTTACAAGTTGCAGTACACTCTAGATTTGGGAAGTAAAATCACGCCCTCATCTATTTTAACATCAAATTGCAACAGTAACTTTTTTCACGAGGAGAATCGTGTGGGTGAGTTTACCACGGACGGTGCTCAAACTCTATTTCGCCTTGATTCGACGAATTCATTAGTTAATGAATTAAGCTCAAGTTATGCAGATAGTATTCTGCCTACGAGTGAAAGTTTAGCCAGTGTAAAGACAACAGACACATGGACCCACAATGACGGAACAGATGCTGAGCTTGGAATAAAGCGCACTCAAGACGAAAGCTGGCGGCAACACTACATATTTGCAATGGATGGTAGAACTTGGCAGATTGTAAAAGACCACTTTCCAGAGGAAATGGGAATAATATTAACACGCGGCTCGATTTATGCCCGAATGTCACCTGATCAAAAGCAGGCTCTTGTTATAGAACTTCAAAATTTGGATTACTGCGTTGCTATGTGTGGTGATGGCGCCAACGACTGTGGTGCGCTAAAGGTGGCTCATGCTGGTATTTCCTTAAGTGAGACCGAAGCGTCGATTGCGTCGCCATTTACTTCACGCAATCCCACGATTTCGGCAGTTCCAAACGTTATTAAAGAAGGACGCGCTGCATTAGTTACATCGTTTGGGATTTTTAAATATATGGCTGCCTATTCGCTAGTTCAGTTCATATCTGTTATGATTCTTTATTCCATCGACTCGAATTTGACAGACAAGCAATATCTTTATGTAGACCTCGGACTGATATCGATATTTGCATTCTTTTTTGGTAAAACTGGATCGTTTGATGGAAATCTGGTTAAACAAGTGCCCCTGAGTTCATTAATATCTTCAACTCCATTAGCATCCCTTTTACTTCATCTTACTGTCGTAACAGGATTTCAAGTGATTGGTAAGTATATGAATAATATTCCGCTAAACTGAAAATAATTAAATATTTTTTGTTTTATCTTACGATTTTAGGGTGGATTCATCTACATCAAGAGCCGTGGTTTACGCCGTTCCAACCTTCTGACGAAGACCATTTGGGTTGTTATGAAAATTACACTATGTTTTGCATATCCAGTTTTCAGTACATTATACTTGCCTTTGTTTTTTCAAAGGGTGCGCCATATCGCCAGCCACTATGGTCAAATTGGCCACTCTGCTTAGCATTTATTGTAAATGTATGCGTTATTGTCTATTTGGTGATTAACCCCAGTGACTGGGTAGCAAATTTTTTTCAGCTCATTGTACCTCCTGTGATGAGTTTTCGATACTTTATGCTTATTTACGGAGCCGCAGCATTTACTTGTCATGTTTTCGTAGAATCATTTTTGGTTGAATATCTAGTGTTTAAAAAATACCAAGTTCAGCGGGATAATAACTGGGTCACTTCAAAGCAAAAATACATGCGTCTGGAGTACGACATTTCCAAAATTAAAAATTGGCCACCAATAACTGAAGTTTATGAACCAAATAATGGTACCAACTGGGAAATAGAGCAGCCCACGTATGTCAGTTTGCATGCTGAACAAAATCATGATACGCAGCTTGGAAAATTTCCAGGGTTTAATTAGTAAAATGCATTAAAAATAAAAAATAGTTAATAGAAAGTATAGCGAGGGAATAATTTTCGCCAAAATCTTTGTACATTTTAATATAAGTAAATGCATAATTTTAAGAACTCGCATAAATCACGCTGCGTTTGGAAAATTTACTAGATTTAATTAGTAAATTACATTAAAAAAAGAAAGTAAGAAAGCGTATAATTCTCGCCGAAATCTTTGTACATATAAGGAAATGCATAATTTGAAGAATTTGCATATTCATTATAGGGGATTTAGTCAAAATTATTTAGTTCCTATTTAGTTTTGCCATGTATTCGTAGTATCCTCCATCCTAGAAAATTGTACTTATGTAAGTTTAAAGCAATTTTGTCGTATTATGTTTATAATGGCGGTCATGTATTTTTGATGTAATTAAGTGTTTAATATGTTATAATTTTCATTTTGGCTGTACATTGCGTTATTTGACTAAGTTTATTTATTTATTTTTAAGTACTCGCTGCTCTTTATTAAATGTATTAGACTACACTTTAATATAATAAATAGTTAAAACGAAATTAATTTAATCAAGTAAATATTTTAGCAAGAATGGAAGTTTAATTCGACAAGCCGAACCTTGCAGTTGAAATAAATACTTAAATTTCATTGCTTGATCGTGCAGCGGTATTTTTTGACTGAAATTCTAGTGCTACCTCCAAATTACTTGTCTCAAAACAATTTTAGCGACGCATTTTGATCGTATTGGAATCGGCGCTGTCCCTGGGATACCAGATCAAATATTGCATTCTTTTAAATTTTGGATTTTAAATTATCAAAAATTAACATGCCAACTTATTTTAAATTTTTTGTTTTATATGAATGAATTAATTAGAATTTTGAGTTTAATATTCGAATTTTGAGTTTAATAGAATTAAATGAATGAATGGCATGAATTTCGAAATAATTCAATCGACAATTTCTTTTGAAGAAGAAAGGGCCATAATTTTGTGATTAAATCAAATCTGCCTGAATTTTATTTACTAAGCAGTTAACATTGATTTGTTAAAACTTTTCTACTTTTGGTTCTCAAAAGAAAGCACAAAAAAAATCTGGCAAATTCAAAAAATTCATAGGAATTACACGGGCCGACAAAATGTGACATGGGTCGGTGTCCAGGCCTGCCACCATTTTATTTCGATAAATGAGGCTTTTCTAAGCATAAGTTGCCACTACGCCTATAGTCCATCAGCTCTCGTATTTGCGGTATCTTTAATTTAAGAAAATCACAAATTTTCTTCGTCTTTTGGGATATGTCACCCCACGAGGAGGTGGGCGCATTCAAAACTTTAAAGTCACAGCAAAGTTTAAGTCTTCATTTGTGAACAGCGTTTAAAAATTAAATAAAAATATGTCTTCTACAATGCATTTTTGATCTAAAGACACCTTATGTCCTTAATTTTTATGACACTTATCAGGTTTTTGTGAATTGTTTTGGAATTTTTAAAATGGTTTTTCTTATTTTCTTCATAGGGACGATTCACAAACAGTGCCCAAACCCTTCGTAGCCCAGAGCCACAATTTAGCAGAAAAGGTACCTTGAACCTTTAAGGGGGAGATACATATAGAACTGCAAATTTGTCAAGTTTTTCATGATTTTTTTTAAACAATAAGGGTTTGTGCTGGAAGTTTGCAACTTGGCATGTTGATTACATAGTTCTTATATAATCGCTGTGTGGATCCGATTTTTGTGAAACCAAATTTATTTTGTTGAGAAATAATGTAGAAACTGTCTGAACCTAACATACATTCTTATTTTTATACCCTTGTAGAGGGTATTATAATTTCAGTCAGATGTTTGCAACGCAGTGAAGGAGACGTTTCCGACCACATAAAGTATATATATTCTGGATCAGCACCAATAGCCGAGTCTATCTAGCCATGTCCGTCTGTCCGTTTCTATGCGAACTAGTCTCTCAGTTTTAAAGCCATCGCAATGAAACTTTCCTGAAAGTCTTCTTTCTATTGCAGGTAGTACCTATGTCAAAGCGAGCCGGATCGGACCACTATATCTTAAGGCTCCCATAGGAATATTCAAACAAATATAAGAAAATTCATTGTAACTTTGTAGGAAGTAGGCGTTTTCATTCTTGACTACTTATGTATAAACAAAATTAAAATATAAACGCTGAATCTGGAATCCCTGGAACTGCACCGAGTGAGCATTACTTTATCTACAAGAGTATATAAGCTTCGGCTGGCCGAAGGTAGCTTTTTTTCTTGTTCTTGTTGTTTTTGCTGTACAAAAAATACTTCAACGTACAAATTTCTACATAAAGTAGGTTCAGACAGTGGGCAGTTTCAAAACAAACATTTCCGTAAAAACAGCATGATGATCAAAGCATTACTTTTTGAGATACACGATCCGCAGCTGAGAAAAACATGGTTTCGAGAAAAACGCATTTAAAGTAATGATATATATCTACTGCACAAGGAAGATGTGTGCCGTCATCCTCGTATAAGTTCCAAGATAGTTCGAATTTCTTCGTGAAACTTTTATGACTCATTCTTAAAGAGTTATACTACCGATTTAAATAATAAAAAAAATTGATTTTTTTTTGTTTTCTAAGACATTTTTATGAATCTCCCCCTTAACTTCAAGATTGTCTAATCACAAAGTTGGGCGACCTCTACTTCTTTAGCTACAATGGACTTAACTAAAGTACTTTTTGTCACTTGTTTTCATCTATAGTAGCCTGATATTTTTAATGTATTGTATGTGTACGGGTCTCAGTTCAACAAGGAAAATATCAGGCTACTATAGATGAACAAAAGTGACAAAAAGTACTTATAATTAAGCTTCATATTTTCGTATTAGTATTTATTTAGTAACTTTTAACTTGCATTTGTTAAGAAATTATGCCCGATCAAAGTTTTGTATTTTCACGGGTATCTGATAGTCGGGGCACCCGACTTTACCGTTCTCTCTTGTTCCCAACTGGGTCTAGCCCTTCATGAACCAAGCACAAGTCCGATTCGGAGTCAATAAGACTTTACTTAAAAACTTATATTAAATCTTTAATATACTACCGCATTAGATGGAAGTCAAGTGCAACTCGCACCTTTATAAAGTGTAGGATGGAAGTCACTTTCAGAAAAGATAATTGGACAACTACCTTTTTAATATTACTTATAAATTACTTTGCTGCAGGGAAACAACTAAAAATTGTATATTTTCTATGAAAATAGTAAGTAACCCTTTCGTATTACGTAAGAGTAACTATATGATTGGTGGAATACACAATTTTTGTGGTTGGGGACAATAATATTGGTTAATTTTATCAAAACAGTTTTTGGGTGTGAGTTGTCTGTGCTTTGACAATATTCTCAATTACACAGGCCGACAAAATGTGACATGGGTCGGTGTCCAGGCCTGCCACCATTTTATTTCGATAAATGAGGCTTTTTTAAGCATAAGTTGCCACTACGCCTATAGTCCATCAGCTCTGGTATTTGCGGTATCTTTAATTTAAGAAAATCACAAATTTTCTTTGTCTTTTGGGATATGTCTTCAAGAGTGGTCAACCAATTTTGGAAATCTTTTCGGAATTAAATAGTTACATGTCTCTGTTATACTGTCGTTTTGGAAAATTCAATGTAACTCAACCACACGAGGAGGTGGGCGCATTCAAAACTTTAAAGTCACAGCAAAGTTTAAAAATCTTCATTTGTAAACAGCGTTTAAAAATTAAAAAAAAATAATTTCTTTTACAATGCATTTTTGATCCAAAGACACCTTATGTCCCTAATTTTTAGGTCACTCATCAGTTTTTTGTGAATTGTTTTGGAATTTTTAATATGGTTTTTCTTACTTCCTTCACAGTGACGATTCACAAACAGTGCTTCATAAAATAAACAGAAATGAAATGATTTACGCAGGGCTCTAATGCGAACCTAAAAGCAACGAAGATATCATGGCTCCCACAGAAATTGCTCAGCGCTGAGTTCATACGTTTTATATTTTTGTTCATATAATCTCAGTCCTAATTTAGTGCAGTGCGATTTTTTGGCACCTCTGTATAATGGTTTTTGCATAAAAAGGGTATATATTACATATTATATATTATATATGTATATTACAGGGACCGTAAATAATCATTATTTGAGATTTTTATTTTAAAAAGACTACTGTGATATTTTGTTTTAAACGTCAAAAATATCGTTTTTTTTGCTCTTGTGCACAAAGTATATGCATTTCAACAAATCTGGAAAGCAAATTAACTGTTATTTGTTAATGTCTATAAAGTGCATAAAAACCAGTTAAATTGTTGATTAAAATATGTAAAAACCTCAGTAGGCCTTTTAAAATAAAAATCTCAAATAATGATTATTTACGGTCCCTGGTATATTATAACCTATTTAAAATGTGGTGTCAAGGTAGAAAGAAGGTAGAAGGAAGAGTTTCCGACCCAATAAAGTATATATGTCACTAGCCGAGTCGATCTAGCCATGTCCGTCTGTTTCTGTCTGCCTGTATGAACGCTGAGATCTCGGAAACTATAAGATGCATTTTGTATGGACATTCTAGGCGTTCCTACGCAGCGCAAGTTTGTTTCAAAAAGGTGCTACGCGCCTCTAACGCACACAAGCTGTGGGTACAGTTTTGATGCTGTTATGAAAATTGTAACTTGTATGTATTGGTTTCGCCAATACCTATCGATTGGCCTTTTGTTTTTTAAGTTTGTCACGCCCACTCTAACGCCCACAAACCCATTAAAGCTGGCTAGGACCTCCAATTTGGCCATTCTTGGTCGGTAATAGGGATGTCAAATATTTTAAAAATATCGTAACGCTGATATATTTTCTTTAGGAAAAATATCAATATGATATATAATATATCGCCAAAAAAACATCGATATATCAGATACTTTTGATATTTTTTTTTCAGTTGCATTTCAAAATTTTAGCCGCGTAAATAAATGTAAAATTTATGTAAAAGCACTAGAAAAGTATAAACAATATACAACCCTAGTCAAAAGTATTTTCACAAATTTGAATGTTAACTGTACTCATATTTTGAACTTATAATATAAACATTTTGGCACCTATGAAAAGAACACTTCAATTCCGTTTAAATGACACAAAAATTTTCTTAACCCATTAAGCACCCTTTGAAAAGAGAGCAAATTAGACAATTTTTTTAAGGTCAAATTTTTAACTTTTTT